GTTAAGAGCCTACACAAAATGCAAATATTTAACCACTTGTTGCTCAATGACAAAAAGGACATCTGTGTGTGTTAGACACACTTACGCAATCCTCTGAACACATCTCCCTCTGCGTCTGCAAGGGTCTTCCCCTGCTCCACTGTGATGGCCTTGGCAAGTTCTTTCTGAAACGCAAGAGGACGCTTGTATGAATTCTCTGTATCAGCTATATAGCCTAAACTCAAGTTTCACTCAAACAAGAGCTCTGAACTACTGTAGAAGGACTAACATGCTGTCTGTCCATCTGTTCATTCATCTGTCCAATTCCACGGCTGGAGTGGGGCTGGATACGATCTGTCATATGGTGAGAGGGGGGGGGGCGCACTCTGAACAAGTCACTAGCCTATTGCAGGGCTAACACAGAGACATAGCCAGTCTAAAATCTCCAGTTAACCTAACGCACATGTCTTTGAACTTTGGGAGGAAGCCAGAGTACCCAGAGAGAAGAGGGAGACCTAAGAACCCCTCTCTGTGAGGCAACAGTGAGTCCACGCTCTTGTTTGATTCATTAATTAAACAAGGCTGAATGGGTTTTTACTTTCAGAGCACCTTACGATGACTTACAATATTGTCCTTGATAAGCTGCTGATAGCGCAGAAAAACCTGCTGTCGAGCCAAGATGGAGGTCTCAGACCAGGAGCGAAAGGCTCTGGAGCATGAGTCTACAGCAGCCAGCATCTCCTCCTGGGTGGCTTTGGGCACGCGGGTGATCACCTCATTGGTAGCCTGTGAAAGTGGAAAAAAGTCATGATCATTACTAAGCTGGATTTTTTTTTTTAAAACACTAAAAATAACAACTTGAACTTGAACACTAAAAATAAGTGCTAATTTATACTGTGACTCTGCTCATTCAATAATGCCAAATCTGAATCTAAATGTTGACGTGGGATGCCCATCCACACAAACCAGTCTGGACCAGTATGTCCAGGTTAAGCAACTCCATACTGTACAAACACAGTATGGTGAGGCATCAGTATACATTCACCTCAACTAATAATGGATGTTGCCAAGAAATACTAGAAGTACTTACAGGATTGTGAATATCCAGCCATTCCGAGGACTTGGATTCAACAAACTTCCCATCAATAAACAGTTTGGTGGTGGGCTGTGAGGAACGATATCAGCATTTACTCTTAGGGTTGATTAGCTCTGAAATGTATTACCAGATTAACAGTTACTCATAAGCACTCACCACAGAGGAGGAGGAGTAGCACAGTCGGCCGACTCTAAATGGAACCTGTGAAAGCGGCACAGCAGGGAGTCAAATCGCTAAAAGTAGCAAAAACTGCAGTATTTATCCATCCAAGAAGTACAATGTGCTGTTTCACTTGCACATTTTGTCAACCAGCTGCAGCCTGTTGGCCGATTAGATTAATGTGCAACTACTGAGTGTGGAGTTGTGAAAATGGGGGCAAAGTCAAGCTGAGTGAAGCGGACTGAAAGAAGGAATGCGGTCCAGGCTGCAGGTGGACGGTTAGACTTAAATGCACCTGCAGCTGAACACGAGTAGAAAAACTTTCTTCATGTTATAAATCAGCTCTTGAAGGCATAAAATTATTATTATTACTTTTAATCCTCTTAAGATTTTTGAACTGAGGAAAAACGTTATTCCTCCTCTGTAAAGGAATGCACGGACATAACTTCTGCAGGACACTGTGTCAACAATCAGAGCTGACCACACGCTGTCACTTGCACTTTACCTTGGTCCTGAACGCTGATCTCAGAGCTGTTGACGCCATTCTGGGATATCATGTGCTACGCCGAACTGATTTGACCCACTGTGCAGGAAGGTAGCACGGTGGCCAGCAGACGTGAATCACCTGTGGGCGGGCTCTGGGGAAATTGAGGCGTCCTATAGGCTCCAAATTCGCCCTCTCACTAATAACGCAGCGTGATTGGGCTCTCGAGGTTGCCTTCTGTCCAATCACGACTCCAGCTCTTGGATTAAACCCGCCCTAGCTATGGAACTCCACCAACTATTGGCTAATTAAACCAGTCAGTTCTCCTGTCAGGAAGTGTGTCTCAGCTGAGCTGTATCCACACGCAGTTTTGAACAAAGTGGGACTTTGCTGTAAAGTGTGTGATCTTTAAGCGATCAGTGGCCCTTATCCAAAAGATTTAAAGTGTTATCGCAGCCAGCGACAATGCGCTTGTCGTTAGCCTGCCTCGCTAAGGTACTGTCAGACCACTGTTACTGTTCGCCGGGTGTTATGTGTGCATCAGCTGCTTAATTTCAACCATATGAAGCCCAAATGGTGCTTAGTCATGGACCAAAGAGTAGGTAGGAGGGAGTTTAGGGGACACATCCTATTGGCTGCTCAAAGTGGATGAGATTTTTTGTAGAAAAAGTACTTGCAGTAACTGATCCAGTCTAGTCGAGGGAAATCTACAGAAGTATGGCAACTCAGACTAAGGTGAACCCACTGCATAAAACCACAAAGCAAAACTGATTTTGTTTCCAAACTGACTTAACATTTTCTGTTTTCTGTTTAGCCCATACTTCACGGATACTTCAGAAGCTCCTGCTCCTGGAGGGTCCGCATTGGTAAGTCATGCCCTGGGAAGGTTCAGCTAAGCTTTGGTGTAACTTTTTTTTTTTTTAAATCACTAAGGTAATGAACTTGTTTGTGCACCAGCTTTTGTTCTAAAAGGTGTTGAATATGACCAGCTTCCAGTCAATCTGATCAAAGATGGAGGGCAGCAGGTACAGTGTGCAGACAAACATGACAGTTTCTACATGATTGCTTGAATATTAAAGAGTCCAAAATCCTGCTAAAACAATATGAAGTTTCTTAACAAGGTGCTGTCTTAAACAATAAAACCATGCATTTCTTTTTTAAAGTCATGTGTTAGTCTGACAATGGCTCTCTCTGTGCCAAAGCTTACTGAGGAGTACAAAGCGCTAAACCCCATGCAACAAGTGCCTACAGTGGAAATTGATGGCATCACTCTCTCTCAGTCAGTGAGTCTGCTTTCATAACACCGTCATGTTATCTTATTACATTTACTGAATATTTTGGTAATACTGGTAACAGTTCTAGTAAAAACCTGACTTGTTTTCTAACCTTTAAGCATTTGCAGGTAGTTACTTTGTAATTTCAAATAAAATACATTAAAATTCCATTTAATTACACCTTTAGTCGGTGTATTTTTAATTACACCATGTAACATTAAAAAACGTTACCAAAATTCTTTTGTTTATGTAGCTGGCAGTGATCCAGTACATCGATGAGACCAGACCAGGACCCCGTCTTCTTCCAGCAGACCCAAAGGCGCGTGCCCAGGTTAGGATGATAAGTGACCTCATTGCCTCGGGTATACAGCCCCTGCAGGTAAGCAGAACACAGTCCACAACGCCATCAGTTCAAATTTCTACTCTGGTTCACAAAAAAATCCAGGCTTGCAATGTCAAGGTCAACCTGCAAGACCAGTAACTTTATCTTTTTTTTAATTCCTGGACTTCGCAGAATTTGTATGTAATCCAGAAAATAGGAGCGGAGAAGATGCAGTGGTCTCAGCACTTCATCGACCGTGGTTTTCAAGGTAAGCGGAAGCCTGTCATCTAGACCTCTATGCTTCGTTTTAATTTTAAATGAGGAGAACTGCACTCTGAAAATACTTTGTTTTACACAGCAGATGATGAACTCTGAGTTGCCTCTATAAGTGCACATTTTTGCTGTCATTACAAAGCGTGACTCATCAGCTTAACCATCCTGCTTTGCTGTAATGTCGCAAGCAGGAAGGCTTTTAAAACTGACGATGATGATTAAATCAACAGTGATCCATTCCTGAGAACTTAACACAGAAGTACAAACTGCTAACATTTCTGTTCTTCTAATATTTACATTTCCAAACTTTCCAAAGTAATAATCTAGTTCTGCACCACATTTGACACCCCTGCTCTAGACATTAGAAACATGATGTGATGAGAAAAATGCCAATGTGGTTTACATGCATGCGTTATTATCCCCCAGCTCTTGAGCCAATTCTGAAGCAAACAGCAGGGAAATACTGTGTAGGCGATGAGGTAAGAACATGAATATATCACAGGATAACATCTGGACAATTTCCAGCACAAAGATTACTTCTTACTTTCTGCTTCTCTTTTAGATTTCCATGGCAGACATCTGTCTGGTCCCACAGGTCTACAACGCAGAGAGGTATGCTATGAGAAGGTTCATAAAAACTGCAATAGAAGTGCTGCTTTAATAGAGATGCTTTCCACAAAATCCAATTTACATATTTTCCCTCTATCATGCAGTGCTGTTTCTCTGTCTAGTGTGTTTTGTTCGAGCCGACCAGGATTTAAGATAGTGGCTATAAAAACATCTGCCTTGTTTTAAATATAATGGAACCAGATGAAACTAGTTTTGTGCCACTTTGTGCCACAAAGCATCAAATAATACATTTGGAAGGTTAGCAGCAGCATCTCTTTCCAGAAATCAGAACAATTTACTTCTATTATATTCAAGAGAAGGCAGAGATCCCAAAACATGATAACCTCAAAACAGCCTGTACAGGGAAGCATCACCACTATGATTTTAATGTCTACAGGTTCAAAGTGGATGTGGGGAAGTATCCAACCATCAAACAGTTAAATGAAGCTTTACTTGAGATTGAAGCTTTCCAAGTGAGCCACCCATCCCGCCAACCAGATACACCTGATGATCTGCGTGCTTAGTACAAAGCCACTGAGAAGTTGTTTGTGTTAAATAAAATGACTGAAAAGCGACTCTGTTCCACTGCAGTTACATTAAATGACAAGAAAGGTTCAAGTAAAAAAATATTTATTAGTATTTTAGCATGAAATTGAACTATGACTTTAATTTGCCTTCAAAAACCATACAGATACGTGGAGAAGAGGTACGGGACAATAATGTGTAAAAAACAACGCTCAGAGATTTGCTATGCAAAGTGGAAAACCTCTCGTCTCACTGTTTGCAGCGCGTTGCCTGATGGTGATTTTCGAAGACACGTAATAAAGTAAAAGAATCACACAGGAGACACATAAATAGAAAATCAATGCAACAAAACACAAAGCAGAAGAATTAGTCTTCCAGACAAAACGCTCTTCTCATGTCTGATCACATCACGGGCCATGGTGGCTAAAAACTGTTTCCAATTTGGACTCATTTGTCAAAAGGAATCTCCACGGTGCATTTGATTGTGTCATCGTAAAAGGAACCAGAGCAGTCCGACCCACCAAACACCAGCAATGCACACTGGATTTTAACATTTTCACCCTGTCCATGTGTCCCAGTGTCTCTTAGGATAGCGCTGCCCAAAAGCATCATGCTGTGTCCAGCACGAGGCCTGGAGCAAAGCAGGGGAGACACCAGTGAAGTCCACATATTCGTATCTGGGGGAGAAAAGAAATGAAGCTCGATTAAAAAGCAGCTGATTTCATCAATATTGAT